TTTTTCAGCACAGCATGACCTTATGTAAAAAGTGGGTACGGGAGGGGGAGGAGGAGAGGGGCTGAGAAAGCAGTAAGGGGACATGATTATCAGGACAGAACAGTCTGAAGTAGTTCTAGCATGTGCTTGCACATCAGGAACATCAAAACTTCACTGTCGGAGCGACATCAGCGAGGGAAAAGTATTGAGGGGAAAACTTATGAAATACTGGATTTTGTTTAAAAAAATGAGAAAGTTTCTTGATTCACTGTAAAACCTGATCACTGACCTCTACCTTTTCTGTAGCTATTGCAGTACACATAAGCAACCGTGAAATTTTGTATTTCATTGTTAATTTATGTCATTTTTGTGAGTAGTAGAAGTGAAAAGTTGAAAATTAGTACAAAGTATGTGTAGAAAATCAAAAAAGCTGCACCGAAAAGGATTAGAAAGAAGCACTGGACTTAGATTATTTGACTTAGGCAGTAAGTAAACCATTATTATAAAGTAGTTTAATCAAAGCTACTTCACGATCTAACGCCAGGTAATAGCGAAGTAAATTGGAAATGTTAAAAATTGGAATCTATAGAATGTAGAGAATTTAATAAATTATCCAATATTAAAGCTGCGCGTGCTTAAATTCAGCGTCACAACTGGACCTCGTCAGTACTTCACTTAGAACTTTTGGTCTAGGGTCAAGTAAATGATATTACTATTTATACTGATAAATGATTAATAGTTGAAAAAGCAAAAAAAAAAAATGAATATTGAGCATAATTTAAAATTTGGGAGGCTATTGGAAACAAATATCGGTTTCGATTGACCGGTCGTTCTCCGCACCCTGTAGAACTGATGTTGGTCTGATTTGATAGCATTAGCGATTCATAAAACCCGGCACCAGACGAACTTTTGTTTATTGATTAGATCAACTTCCGTTTCTCGCTGATAGACGTCAAATCCATTGTTCTCTCGTTTATTACGCGAACTTTTGCTTGCACAGCTGTTGCTGGCCAAACATTTTGTACACTTTATCTTTGTCGCTCTTCTCACTGTTTTCGCCATAATTTTCCAGGAGTTGTTCGGAGAGAAAATGATTAAGAATTTGTCAGTGGACGCATGCTCAACCTCATCATCCCTCACGCCAAATTTACCGCCACCAACTCGGAAACTGTGCCACAACGCACCGGATGCGCCATTACTGGATGCTATCAACATCGCGGAAAAGGAAGGAGCTACAGCGACGTTCTTTCTGAATGCAGCTGCAGCAATGAACTCCGCCGGAACCAGTAATTCCTCTCTAATTCCCGTGCAAAAAACTTCCAGATTTGAGGTATGCTTTTTCTGATTTTTTTTGCAAAGCTTTTTAGAGGAAGTCAAGGACCCCTCTGTAATTACTGTCTGTAAAAGACAAAGGAGCTTGGAAGTA